ACTGGAAAAGGTGCAAAGGCAAGCTACAAAATGGCTTCTGGAACTGAAAAACAAAAGAGTTACGAAGAGATGTTAGAGTCATTAAATACTGTATAGCAAAATATGAAGATAGAAGAAAAAGAGGGGATATGATCACTACTTACAAAATAATAACATGAATTGACCTAATTGACAAAGAGGAATTCCTGAAACCAGCAACTTCAAGAACAAGAGGACACAAATTGCCAAATGAATATTAGTGTCGGAAATACCGACACTATTTACAGTACTGTATTAACTCAACTCATCCTCCGAATTGACAGTACGATTTAATACTAAGTGTAATGAGTACACTTTCTTACTGTCATAAACAGTGCATAATTGCACTTATGGGGCTGTTACATTTACCCAACTCCCTCCCCCGGTTTAATTCTCCTCTTTTTCTGTTAAGACACTCAGAACTTTAGGATGAAGTTTTCAATTTCAATTCGCTTTACACAAGTTATAAATATCAGGAATTTCTTTTTCAGGTTTATTAAACAATATAGATTTTATACAAAATTTTAAAATATCCTGAGTTACTTTACAATTTATTGATATATTTTAGTTTTGTTTTATTAGTTTTATAAAACTGTAGTATCAATATAGCTTTAGGTTAAGTACTACTGTAATTGTAATTAAGAAGCAATAAAATTATTATCTTCAAAAACTAAGACGGTTTCGTGAGGTTGTGGTTTTCTATTAAGTTTTTCAGGTAAACTCAAATATTCACAATATATTTGACAGTACGATTTAATACTAAGTGAAAATAAGTACAATTCCTAACAGCTATGAACAGTACATAATTGCACTTATTTGTCTCCTTACATTTACCACCCTATTTTTGGAGGACAGGCTGACTAACTTCCAATACAATATGCAGATAATATTCCTGCTGATTTTGTATTAACACAAATTAAACAAATTATCTTAGTTACTCATTCAAAGAAAACAAGAATTGTGTTATTTTCCACCAGAAAATGAGGATATAATTGCCACATCACCAAAATTAAATTCACCAGCTAATAATATTGTGAATTCATCTTAAAACACCAGTTTGGGTAACAAAATAGATAAAAAATATTTTCCAAGTTCTGGATGTAATTAAATTACAAGTAAACACAAGGTCTCCTTCCCATTGTCGATAAAAGGCAGAAAATTGAACCGATCTCTCGACGCATCGCTTGATCGAGGAGGAAGGGGAAGACACCATTAATTATCAACATCAAGTCTTGCCAGCGAGCATGTTCACATACATTACATGAAAATTTCCTGCTAGTCACAGTGTTGTAGGATACCAAATCTCCTATCATAAACATGCCTTCACCAGCTACTAGAGAAGTGTTCTATATCTGCTTGACTATTATTAATGAACATTTAAGGCCATATTTAATACATCAAAATGTTAAAATACATAACAAGCCACCCAGAACGGGTAAGCTTAAATTAATGACACTACATAGCCTGGCCACGAGGAGAATCAGTTTGCGTGAACTTTTGTGTCCATGTCTGGTTGACCATGCTGCATACTACAATACAGTACAGCTAAGCTGTGACTCATTTAATTATTACTAGGCATTTTGTAGATTAACCATTAGTAGCAAATTTCTACCAATCGATTCATTTTGATTTGGTAGAAATTTGTAATTAAACCCCCAACTTGTGTAGGAATTTGCTTGTGGAATAATTAGAATCTACTTTATGTAGAATAAAAAAGTCCACTATCAAAAGAAATACAGTATAAGAAATATTGTCGGAACGAAAGTGGAAATCAAGAAAAAAATGGGAAAATTTTTGCTAGAAGTGCCGGATAAACCAGTGAGATATGTGGGCCTGCAGGCCACTCCAAGCAACAGCCTGTTGAATCAAGTGCTCTCAAGTCAAGCTTGGCTCCAGGCGAGCATGGGGGAGTAGACCTCCCAGAACCTCATCCAGGTACAATCCAGGTCCATGTACAGCCCATCTCCAGCTGGTGGTGTGGATGCTGATTTTGTGCTGTGTTTTGTAAGGAAGTGTATGGGTGTCTGGACTTCGACACTTGTGCCTTATGTCAAATGATGGCTTCTGTTGCTTCCAACTCAGCCAGCAAATTACTGTACTTCAGGTCATTGCAAGAATGCACACCAGAGCTGAGCATTCAACTACACTTGATTCTTAAGGTATCTTTACATACAGGAAATAAAGTATATCAAATATAGGGAAAAAGGCAAATACAGTTCCAATCTGCAAAAATAGTAGAAGAGAAGACCCTCTAAATAGCAGACCTATATTATTGAAAAAGCAGTCAAATCACTAGAAAATTAATTTAAGTCAAATTGTCTGGATCTATATAAGGCCTTTGACAGAGGCCTATACAAGATGATGTTCTGGAAGCTGGAACATGATGGAGGGGTGACAGGAAGATTTCTCACATGGACAAAAAAAATTGATAGAAAATGAGGGGGGATAATTAGAGGCAATGTATCAGACAGGAAAAATGTTACCTAGCGAAGTACCACAGGGTTCAGTACTTGAACCAGTAATGTTCATTGGCAACAGTTTAAATGATCTATATCTATAAGTTGGGATACAGTTATATAAACATGTTTGCTTATAATGCTAAGCTACTAGGGAAAATTAGAGATTTAGATGACTGTCATGTCCTTCAAGATGACTTGGATAAAATATGCAAATGGAGCAATACATGGCAGATGGAATTCAATGTGAATAATTGCCATGTTATGGAACGTAGGAAAAAATAGGCCACGAACAACCTACAAATTATGTGAAAACCATTAAAGAAGTCTGATAAAGAGAACTAGGGGTGGTTGTGGATAGTGGCTCCTCTGACTGGTCATCAGAGGAGCACACAAAGAACATTGTTTAAGGAGCATATGCTAGCTCCACATTCCAACCTCAGAATTGATTTTAAAAACATGGCCAGTGAAGAAAATGTTCACGATTTTTGTGAAACCAAAATGTAAAATGCAATGGTTGTATGGTGTCCATATCTCAAGAAGTACATAAATAAAAGTCTAAAGGCATGCTACTATATGCCTTCTGGAACTGAAAAACAAGAGCTACAAAGACAGGCTAGAGGTGTTAAATAAGACAAAGCTAGAAGATTGAATAAAATAGAAGTGGTATGATCACTACTTATAAAATAGTAGCTGGAATCAACAAAACTGAGAAAGACGAATATTTGAAACCTGCAATTTCAAGAACAAGAGGTCAAAGATCCAAGGTAAGAAAATAAAGATGCCAAAAAATAATAGGAAGTTTTCTTTTGCAAAGTGATAGATGATTGGAACAAGTGTGAAAACAGTTCCAAAGTGTTTTTGTTCAAAATGATGTTTTCAGAGAACCAGACACAATGCCAATTTCAGAGTACATAAGAGGTGCCATGAAACAAATTAGGAAAAACTACTCAAAGAGCTAGGAAGAAACAAAGCAGTTAGCACAGATGGGGTTTCATCTTGGTTTCATTCTAAGAGAATGCTCACCTGACCTGAGTATTCCACTTCACTTAATTTTCAGACATCTTTATGGACAAGAATCTTAGCAGATAAATGGAAAAAGGCAAACATAGTTTCAATCTACAAAAATGGTAGCAGAGAAGATCCTATAAATCATATCCATTATCGTTGACAATCATAGTAGTAAAAAAGAATAGGAAAAAATAGTTAAAACCAAATGAGTAGAACACCTGGAGAGAAATGACAAAATAACAGACAGTATAGCTTTTGAATAGAAAGATCCTGTGAAACAAATCTATTTAGTTTTTATGACAGGGCCACGGATTTTACAGAAAAAGATATGATTTAACTATTTATCTGGACCTTGAAAAAAAATAAAAAACTTTTTGACAGTCCCACACAAATGGTTGTTCAGGAAACTGGAACATGCTGGATGGGTCACAGACAAGCTGTTAACATGGATGATAAGTTTACTAGTAGAAAGATGAGGGTGGTAATCAAGAGGTAATTTATCAGATGAGAGAAGTGTTACTGGTGGATTACAACAGGGCTCAGTCCACTTCAGGAAGGAATATAATTAATGGGAAGGTAGCATATAAGAAAAACTAGTTCCCTGCAACCCTACCCATCATGGAACCCAACAAGGGTAGGTAATAGCATGCAGGCAACCTTAGGGTAGCAATGAGAGGATTTGCAAGAAACCAGAGGACAGTGTGAATGGCAGCCCAGGGACCAAGGAGGATACCAAACCCCCCAATGCCCACTCAACCTGACCCATGTTTGACAAAGCTCACCAGCCAGACTAGAAAACTGAATTAGCCAACCCATTAGTGAAGCTCCTGTTTTACCTCTATACAGTACTTTCACCAAAGAAGTGTGTTGCACTCCAGGGATCATCGCTGTTGGGTAAGCTCACTGACCAGACCAAGGAACAATGGGAGAATACAGAATCATAGCAGGCAGGAGAGGGGAAGCAGAAGCCACCTACACCTATTTGAGTGACAAAAAATAGCTCTCATCACATCAAGGCAGCACCCTTGAGAGGGCCAATTTCTTTTAATGTCTGCAACAGCTACCATCCCTTCCCTTGAAAGATGCAACCCGTACCTTACATACATGTGTTGTTGCCAATGTAAGAGCACCAGTTATCCATGAACGGTTGCATTATTTTTGCAATACTCTGAGATGCTTATTTACACACATCGCTGTCAACATCTTGTCACTGCCAACTCTCATCCATGGAAGAACACCATACGACCAAAATCCCTCCTTTATTCCTAATCATATCTAACACTAATATTTGTCCATCATCTTATTTCTACCTCAATAAATATCGTTTCCATCTTCTGAGAGGCAAACAATAGGCTTGATCCCATTGCCCGACAATATACTGTATTGCTCATTCTATACACTCACTTTCCAATCCTTGCCCCTGGAAAACATACTAATAATTTCTTCCATCACTGGAGCAGAACGCACTATCCATGTAGTGCATTCGCGAATCTTGAACAACCAACATCCCCCTACCTTTTTAGTTGTGATGTACTGTACAGCTGTCTTGCTTACAGGGTTCCCACTCAAGTTCTCCTCCGAGTTCCCGCTAAAGTTCTCCTCTTGGTTCCCGCTCAAGTTCTCTTCCTGAAAAATAGAGAAGTGGTTCGACATCTCAACCACTGCCTTTCTGATGATCAGTTTCCCATATGTTCTAATTCCTTGTTTACAGACCACTCTCCAACTATCCTGCTGGATTTTCTTCTGCTTTTCATCCTTGCACTCCATTAGACTTTTCACTTGCTCCCATAGTTTGTCAGTCTCTTCCTTAAGCAAGCTCCAGGCAGAGCTTGTACAAGGCTTGAGATGAGGAAATGATGTGCACTATTGTTGAGTCCAAGAATAGTCACACTGCTCTTGACAATCCTACTTGTTTTCACTTTATACTTTTTCCAATAACACCCATTCAGATCTTTAATCTACCTCTGAAATACCTTTACCTTTCAAGATATTTGCTGCTTATCCATTTTCCATCTTCTTTCATTTGGGAAATTTCCTCTGTAGCTTTTTAATTCATTCTTTTAATCAAGTTACTTTGTTTCTGCTTGCAGATTTTTCTTATTCTAATTCTTGAATCCTACTCCATACCTTGGTTATTTTTTTCTTGACTTTCTTTTTCCATTACATATTTGACTATGTAGGCAGTAATAAATTCCAATGTCTTGCTCATCACTATTGTACAGCTAACATCATCTCTTGCGACTGTTCCTACACCCTCGTGTCATTCCTGCCTTCATTCTCGTTACTTTTCTATTTTTTTTTGGTCCTCCTCCTACACTTATTGATGGAATAGCAGTGATGGTAGATTTTCTTCCTTCTACACTGACTGATGGGATGGAAATGACAGAACTTCCTCCCTATCCCCAATAATCCATAACGAAGCTGAATTATTATGTTTATTTCCACTGAATAATATCAAAGCTATTTATTAATAAAGAAAACAATAGAAGAGTATTAATGCATATAACTATAAACATGATAAAGTAATACTGCCATTGTAAAATATAAAAGAGTGATGATTATGGATGGCTGCTTGCCGCATTTCCTTGCCACTAATGAGCACCCACAAATAACTGACTCCTCTCCCCTATACAAGATATATCTCCATAAAGAAAAGATACAAGAATTAAGAGGATTTATTAATGCAAAAATAATCAAAACCATTGATGCTGGCTCCTTTGCAGTGTAAAATATGTATACAATATGGTTGAAATTCAAAATAATTTTAAGGAAACTATATTTCATAAAACCCAGAGCTTATAAAAGCATTCTATATGACAAGTGTTACCATAACTGAATAAAAAAGTATTACATGTAACAATACACCTCTTTCTGAGGGAAAGGGGAGGGGGGGGGGGGATCAAAGGCTCCTTGCAGCTAGCTGCTCCAGTTACCTCTACACTATCAAATCAAACCAGGCCCTTGTGAGTCAATAAAAGCCTACCGTATAATAGAAGCCAAAACTTGGCCCCTCAAAGAGGGCCAAGGGAGCAGAGACCATCATCCTCACCAAACAATCACCACCACCTATAAATTAAAATAGATAATGGATAAAGTGGATAAATCAAAATAGGTAATAGAATGGTCAGAAGTAAACAAACCACTCTACAAACAATGAACCCAGTAGTTAAGTCGTTCACCCAAGAGCTGGCCATCACCAGGAGGCAGCTATCATAAACTGCTGGCCCCATCAGTAAACATTCCCAGTTAAGAGCCAAAGGTGAACTGATACACCGGGAAGAGAAAGGAAGGGTCTAGGGAGTCAACAAGACCCTCCCAAAAAGAGGCATTTATCACACTTAATATTGGTTTTCCAGTGGGACCAATCACTGGTTTCCAGTAGCTATATCATCATACAAAAATAAAATAAGGGACTCATCAAGGGCAGAGGAAAGAAGTAGAATCAAATGCAGAAAAATAGAGTCAATGATAGGAAAACCCCACCAGGGGCAACACAAACCAAACATTTAAGAAAATGAAACTGAAATAACTTCAGTTATTTCCCCTCAACTATATATATAGTTGTAGTTTAAAAGTAAACAAGTTTAAAAGTTTAAAAGTAAATAAGATACAAGAAATTCAAAGTGAGTGACAATTCTGAGCTGGAAAAGTTTGTTTTCTACAACAAACTATTGTCAATAAAAAGGAAGGCCACCACCACGGGGATTGTAAACACGCCAACAGATGATTGTTTCAAAGGATTCTTACCACAAGATATTAGGAAAGGAGGGTTTTCTTGTCAGGTTAGAGATAATTGAGGATATACTAAAGAAGCATGAAGAAAAAGTACTTGAATTAGAAGAAATGGAGCTCTCAGGAATGAGTTTCAATCTTTAAAAGTATTCTTCAGCAATGTAAGAAAATTACACTGGAAACTTCATTGACAACTCACATAGAAGAGGTTAATAAAGAACTAGAAAAATATAAAGTAGTACAGTAATAAAAAAGAGACGTATGCCCAAGTTGTAAGAGACAATCAAGTTAGTGTGTTTGGAAGTCAAAATCAGAAATGACAAACAAGAAGTGAAAATTAGACAAGCAATTAGGAAAGAACTGGTAACCAACAGTAAACTAGTACAAAACACTGCAGATATAAGTAACTCATAATAATTTTCGGATGTTTAGAGAAGAAAATTTCATTTAGGGTGGACAGAGCAGCAGAAGAGATGAAAATCATAAGAGAAAATAGTGGGTTTATGAGAAGGCCTAAATTCAAAGGAAAATGTCAGTGATTTTAGGATAGGAAAATATGAGAAAGACAAGAACCACACCTTAAGGGTGATATTTAATTTACTGAAACACATGACAGAAGTGCTTAGAAATGCCAGAAAATTGCAGTGTGATGAGGAGGGCAAACTTTGGTCAATAAGACAAGACCTCTCAAAGGAAGACAGATTAAAGCTGAAAATGAACCTCAGTGAAGTAAAACGTCTAAATGAGAATAGAAATGAAGAAGAAAAATTCTTTTTTCTACAAAATGTTAGGGACTGGAAAGCTAGTGAAATGGTACATAAAATCAAAGCAACAAGAAACTATTAGAGGAAAGGGGAGAAAAAGAAAAAAGGGCAGGCAACATGTTCCTGAAAATTGTATATACCAACACAGATGGAGTGAGATAAAAAATATTGGAGCTAAAAGATATAATTCAGGGTGAGCATGGTGACCTGGTGGTGGTGCTGAAGAAAGCTGCTCGCCCCGAGGGTTCCAGGTATTGTCGTATTAACAGAGACAAAACTTGAAGAAAATATTTTAAATGAGGTCGTAATCCCACGGGGCTACTCAGTTCGGAGAAGTGACAGAAAATCTAGGAAGGGGGTGAAGGAGTGGCTGTACTGGTGAAAGAACACCTGAAGGTATAAGTGTTAATAATTGAAAACCCTCGAGAAGTTGACATAATGACATTGCAGGTCTGGAATAAGGATGATAAGCTAATAATTGTAAATGCCTACAGCCCACCAGCAAGCAACACATGGACAAAGGAAGAACTGGATGACAAATGAGAGGGCCTTATATGGTTATGAGAGAGATTATAGTAAAAGCAGGTAAAGATAGATCACAATTGTTGGTACTGGGGGACTTCAACTTTAAAGCAATAGACTGGGAGGCCTACGAAGCAAGAATGGAGGACCTATGGACAGGCAGATCTGTAAACCTCATTTTAGAGACATTCATGTATCAATGTCAAGCAGGCCACAAGAATGAGGAAGAGGATGTTCTGTCAAAACTGGATCAAATATTCACCATGAAAGAAGAAGATATATTTGACATCCAATACCTTCCTTCCTTGAGAAAGAGTGATCATGTCCTGTTAGACATTAAATATGGTTTGCGATATAATCTAGAAAAGAATGGGTACATTAAAAACAGTTGATAAACTTGATATCAAGGAAGGCCACTATGGGAAACATAAAACAAATTTAATGATTTTAATTGGACAGACTTCTTGTTAGGCAAGGAAGTGAGATGTATGCCAAATTTTGTGAAATATACATTGAAGACACAAACATTCATTCCAAAACAGGGATGAAGGGCCAGAAAACAGGATTGGTTCAACAGAAATTGTAAGAGGGCCAGAAGTGAAAAGACAAGAAAATCGGTTCAATATAGGAAGATCAGGTATCTTCTTGATCTTCCTGAAGATCAGATATCAGATAATATCAGGCACTGGGTTTGCCAAATTATCAAGGCTATTATCTATTTTGTTTATCTGTTCTGTGAATTCCTCAGCCATTGCATCTGGTGGTTTGTATATTAGAATAATAACTAAGTTTATTTTCTCTATTTTTACTCCCAGTACTTCTACCACATCATTTGTAGAGTTAAGGAGCTCCGAGAATACAAGGTCTTTCCTAATATTCAATAGGTACAGTATCTCAAGATAAGAGGAAAAATTACTCGAGGGGCTAGGAAGAAATAAAGCAGTTGGACCTGATGGAGTTTCACCTTGGGTGCTGCGAGAATGTGCAACTGAGCTGAGCATTCCACTCCAATTCATATGCCAGATATCCTTGTGCACAGGTATCTTAGCAAATATATGGAAAAAGGCATAGTACCAATCAATATAAATGGTAGTCGAGAGGAACCACTAAATTATAGATCCGTATCATTAACAAGCGTGGTAGTCAAAACACTAGAAACAATAGTTAAAGCCAAATGGGTTGAACATCTAGGGAGTAATGACATAATAAAGGACACACAGTATTGTTTTCGAACAGGAAGATCCTGTGTAACAAATCTACTTAGCTTTTATGATAGAGCCACAGAGATAATACAGGAAAGAGATGGTTGGGTTGATTGTGTCTATGTGGACCTAAAAAAGGCTTTTTGACAAGAGTCCCATATAAGAGGCTGTTCTAGAAACTGGAACATGCTGGAGGAGTGACAGGGAGACTTCTGACATGGATGAAAAACTTTCTAACTGACAGACAGATGAGGGCGGTAATCAGAGACAATGTATCTGACTGGAAGAGTGTTACTGGCAGAGTACCACAGGGTTCAGTTCTTGCACCAGTATGTTCATCGTCTACATAAACGATCTACCAAAGGAATACAGAATTATTTGAAAATGTTTGCGGATGATGCTAAGA